GAACTATTGCTCATAATTTAATATTTATAACACTAGTTAAATTTATTATTTTATCAAGTGCATCTCTGAGATACTATGCTATATACTATATTATCTAACATTTTTCTGTCATTCTTTTATACATCAATTAGGAGGAACTATGTTGCGTGAATTTTTTATTACAGTATTAATAACTTTTTCAAATATTTGTAAAAAAAAAAAAATAAAGGCTCACGTTGAACATTATTTAGTACTAATACACATGTATTATAAATAAAAATAAAGTTTAGTTATATTAAAATACACAGCTGATATTAAAATATTTTTACATTGAATTAAAACATTAAATAAAATCAAGTGATTCGTTTATGAAATTTTCATGCCTTTTTACCATACCTACAACTTAATGATATTTACGATACATCATTTTTTTGTTAACAATTTCATTTAGACAATATTCATCGTTTTAACTGTGCTAAACTACAGTTTTTACATGTTTTCGGTTTTTATGTTTATATTTATCAATTAATGAATCAAACATTAAGTACCTCTTTATACTGTTTCAATGAAAACGTATGACTCTGATATTTATACACAAAAATTACTTATTTTCCTGTATTAAATTTTTTTTCTCATTTTGTAAGTAGTAATGACTAGAATGATTTGATTATCATACAATCATGTTTGATGAACACAACATGGTAAACGTAACAAACTCGTTAAAAGGTGTCATAGATATCGATATTTTTCCATAAGCCGCATCAAAGGTTCAAAGACAATATGCGGTGCTGTTCTTCCCCATATGAAATCATAATGATTGAACGGATTGGTTGAAATCCTTCTATGATAAACAACACTCCTCAATTTATTAGCAAGTAATTCAATGTCCTAAAAACAAAAGAAAGAAAAGTTAATAAATTTTCATTGGGCAATGCTAAAGTTAGCTTAAATTACAATTAAAAAATGATTTTTACCTTTGGAGTGGCCAACCAATCATTGGTACTGCTGAACAGAGCAATGGGTGCAGTTATGGCTTCAAGCTTGTACTCTGGCGGCGTGGGATATCCGTACACCAAGCGATTCCTGTTATCATTCCCATAATCGTAGAGTCGAAAGTACCCTGTCGTTACAACATTCGGAAAAAATATTGTATGAATTTTGGAGGAAATTGTAAGATTATGATTTGCTGAGATTCCAAAGATTCAAAAACTTTAAACATACCAGGATTGATGTACCCTTGGCCATAATGAATGAGCTGCTTCCAAGAGGCACCGGCAGGCAAATGGCTCGCGATGACCGTCAGCTTGTCCTACAACAATACAGGACCACGACACAGTTGGAATACATATTATATGTAAAAAAAATCCGTCCGTGGTTTTACCAAATCAATGTCGGGACTGAATCCAGCTAGCAGATAAAACTTGGTGCTGCAAAAGATCTGCGTCGGAGCGGCGCTCTGGCAAAACAGCCGAGAAATGAATCTGCCCCACCTCGAGCGCGAGCCAAACTCTGGATAGCCAAAATTTTCGCCCACCCACTGAAATTGCATTCGAAGGACCGGTCAAACAAAAAAGGTCGGAAAATCCGGGAAAAAAAAAAAAAAAAAAATATGCACTCGAGGGGAGATCGAGTGACACGTACGACACCGAAGTATGTCAGCTTGGTGAGTTGAGTGATGGGGCCCCGGAGATAGCCGGTGAAGGCTGCGGGTGCGAGGCCAGCCGCCAGCGCGATCTTGCCGTTGTACCGGGGCAGCTGCGAGGTCATCACGAGTAATTGGGTTGTGCCCTGCGAGTGGCCCACGTACAGGATTCTCCTGTGTCTGGTAACGCCTAGGATGTAATCGATGCTCGACGGCAAGTCGTACATCCCTAACTCGTGGAAGCTGTAACCAAATCTCGTTATGAAGAATCGATCTTGTTGGAACTGTATGAAAATTTTCATTTTTTAAGTATTTGAAAAGAAAAATTTTTTTCTTCAGGATTATGCGTACGTACACATGTATGCCACTTGTTACGTTTGAAAATAATATTAATTGTACAAAAAGGTTACCTAAAGTCCCAAAAGTAGCGGTCAGTTGGTTCCATGTTGGTGTGATTTCTCGAGTAAACGTTGCCACGGTTGTTCCCCAGCCAAACGTCGTACCCTGTGTCCGCAAGGAAGTACGCTTGAACGTAAACCAATGATAAAGTTGAGAAATTAAGTTTCAAATTATTATCTTAAATATTGATTAGAGGCCCAATATTCAAGTATTCATTAGATTTATGAGAAAAAAGTTTTTTTTTTTTTTTTTTATTATTATTATTAAAAATACATCATCAAACCAATTAAAAAGTCCAAAAAATGGCTCAATAGATATATTACAATCACGTATAAGGACACGAAACTCTCAACCGTCGCGAAAACATTGCAAAACTGTCGACTGTTTTCACAAATGTTTGCCAATAAAGCACTCCAAGTGCATATAAATCCCTTCCACGGTGGACAACCAACATTGCATGCAAATAGCGTTGTATCTTTAAATCGCCCTGCCTCTCGATGATAAACCAACTGTAGCGGCACATAAGCGTAGTGTATATCCTAAAAGAGCCCGAAAACCAATGAAAAGAGTAATAAAAAAAAAAAAAAAAATCGGAGCCCATAGAGAGGTAAAGTGCATAAAAAGTAACAAGCAGAAAATCGCGCAGTGGTCGCAAAAGCTTAATGCGCGCATAGGCGCACTCTTTAAAGACCAGCGAAGGATAACCGCTACCGTTGGTGTATTGTATATACACATGTGTAAGTAAATGCATGGACGCGCGCGCTCGCCGATATTATACAATTATACAATAACAAGAGAACGCACGTGCCCAGCGGGAGCACACACACACACACACACACATATATATATATATATAGATNTTCCTCTCTTTTGCTATTGGGCATTTGTGTCTTTCTTCTTCTCTCTTCCAAGCCCAAGCGTCTTCTTTGCCCGCAAGTTACATATGCTCTGATGGTACGTTACTTTTGGTGAATTTTTACATACACAGACGTGTACTGTATCTACTTTTTTCCTTTTTTTTTCTCTCGGGCAAATTTTTTCCGACTCGATTTTTTTCACCCCCTCAACCACTACGAATGCAACCCTATGACGGGCCAATTACTTGCTGCGAGCTTCCTCCGACTCATACTGTTCTTTTTTCTTCCTCTGTATTTCTACTGTTTTTTTTTTTTTTTTTAGAGGCTTCCTTTTGGAATTATGAGCGAGCAAAAAAATTTCCTTCTGCCGCGTTATTTCGCTGCCGTTCGTTGAATACAAAAGGAGTGAGGAAAGTTTCTAGCACCGCCAGCTACAACGGTGGATTTTCACGTTTTTACATTGCGCTCCCGCGTCGAACAACAATGGTAGACTTTGTTTGCCCCGAATATGGTGAAAAGTCGAAAAAAGTGCATTGTGCTCTGTACACGTTGCCAAAATCTCAAAAATCGTAGAGGAAAAAAAAATAAAACAAATACGTGAGGGTATATAAGTTGAATATAAAAAGCTCGTTTAACACATCGTTTAAACTCAAGAGGCTGCACGCCTCATGAAATCGAAGAAAAAGAACTTTTCAAAGACTCACAATGTGATTCAAGGCTTCGTGAGGCATTTAAAGAGAGTTAAAAGTCTTTTAACAATAATTTAATAAAATGGCCTTTCAAATATCTCAACCTAGAGGGAAAGAGCAAAATTACGTGATCGAATTAAAAAATGTCGTTGATTTTTAATGTAAATTTAACTCAAGTCTATGAAAAAACGTTTGTAATTCGTTAATGGCTTTGAATGGCGCGCAAAAGCATTTAAAACTTGCTGCGATAACCACAAAGGCCATTGAATGATTTTCGTTGACTATTAAAAATAATGTAAGCAAATGAAGACTTTTTTTGATTGTGCATTAAATAAAGTACACCACTTTCTACAATACAGGCCAATTGATGATTGATTTATTGATTAACAACAAAAGGGTTGTATCTTCAGAGAAGTCATCCAAATAAAGACTTCAAAGTCGAAAAAAATCATTGATCGATTTCGAAAGTCTTCCAAAACATTATTAATTTCTTATAGTCTCAGAAAAGCGCAGATCCTCGTTTGACCTTTTATAACGCAAAATGGCACCACTATCCTTTGTACTCCGCTAAACACTTTCCCCGTTAGTAATACCGCGGCTAGGCCGTATTATCTAATAATAAAACAGCCCAAGCGTTTCATACGCCTTATTTAGCGAAACGCTATAGCTCATGGGTCCCTATATACAGTACAGGCTAGATTTCACGCTGCCGTGGTTTCACAACGCTCCCCACTTTCTCGCGGCGCATCTTTACCTTTTACGTGGACTTGATCGAGGTCTATTTTTTTTTCCTTTTTTTTTCCCCAAACTCTACTCCCTTTTAGATTGAAAAACCCGTACGGTCGTGACGATGAAGTCGACCAAGAGCATCCAGTCCACTCATGAGAAAAGTGGGTCGAGCTTGCGAGGCGTTGCCGTGCGCGTCAAACTGTGCATCGAATATTATGTTGCGGAGGCCAAATTACATGACCCCAAGAAAAAGTAGGAGGAGGAGGTGGCGGTATTGTAACGATATACTGTAGTGCCGAGGCTCGACACCACGGCTGTGATTTTACTTTTGCGACCTTGAACTGCATTCATTGTCAATCAGCGGCCTTGCGGAGTGCGTAAGTGACGCGTCGGTCTCTGAATACATGAAAGTTGTTGAACCTCTTTTTCGGATGATTTAACTTTGCTTTTTTTTTTTTATAGTGGTACGAGGATTAGGCGCGTCCGCGGAAAGAAGATTTATGGACTTTTTTGAATTTTATTATCCAGATTTTTGAAGAAACGCCTTCCGGAAAGACTATGGAATGGAGTTTCATTCATATAAATTCTCAAGTTTATTTATAGTTAGTACGAGATTTTTTATAAATCCGCTTGGCATGAAAAATACATCGCCCGTGTTGGTAAAAAAAATTTAATCCCACCTCTACAAGGATTTAATAAAGTCTTTTTATTCGTGATTTGATTGGCTAGAAAGGACTGTAATTCAAGGATGTCCGAAAAACGTTTCTGAATTTTAAGCATCCGTATTATTTAAATTTTTGACGAAGTAGTATTAAGATTGGCGATAAAAATATCAAGTTGATTTATACTTGATGCGAACAAGAAATCAAGCCTGAAAATAAGAATGAACTTTATTCAAGTTTACCTATGTGTATCGATACAACTAATGACTTAAAAACGTACTGGCAAAAATTTTTTAATCCGACTAAATCCAAGTACATTTTCACATACGATTGAAATAAATGAGTTGCCAACATCAGACACAAGTTTAATAATCCTGTGCAAATTTTTCTCTGATAAGAAATATAAAATTTCCTTTACGGTGGAGTACATGAAAAATACGAGTAAATGGAATAAGAAAATATTAAAAATACGTGTACTAGTGTTCGAAATCTGAAATCCTGCAACCACAGTCGTTTGAGCGGTGTTAAATAAGAAAAAATACGTTCGTCCAATGAACAAACAAGAAAAAGCAAACGGCTACGTAAACTTACCCAAAGAGTAGCCCGGCCCCATGAGAACCCAATCAGCCGAGCTGCCGCCCAGGCCGTGCATCATCAAGACAGGTGGCCGTCTCGCGAAGTAGCTTCCGTCGTAATTCCTTCTACCATGCGGTATTCGGTGCAAACCCAGTATGTAGCCGTCCTCGGTGACTACCGTGTGCTCCTCGAACGGGTAGCCGTACTTTCTCACCAATTCGTTCTTTGCGGGTTGTCGATTGGCGCGAGAACAATCAAAGACGGGAGTCAGTTGTTTACATGACGGGGAATAAAATTCAATTTTCAACATGCGTATACGTTCATATACGAGTGATGTACATTTTTTTGTCAACGGCAATGGTTTACGGCGTTTTTCAAAGGTTTCGGGACGAGGACAACCGCGTGACTGACAACTTTCATCAGCGGGATAAATTATGCTTGGCGAACGGGACTCTTTGCGGTGTGATAAATAATACCTACATATGTATGTACTGCGGGTAAAAACGCATTCGAAGAAGACACATTACGGCATATACCGAGATAATAATAGCCAGCTTTCAGTACCACAACGACAGAAGCTCATCTCGACCATATGGTTCAACAAATTTCGATGAAAAAAAAAAAAAAAAAAAATGGCCCATATCGAAATGCATCGCTGCATCGAACATACAGTATAGTGGTATGGGTGTATTTAACACAGCGTATGCGCAACCACAAGCTTCACACTCGACTGGCCGTGCAAAGGCGCAAAACAAGACTTACGGTCCTGAGATCGATGTCGGGGTTCGGATCCAGTTTGGCCCAAACGCCGGCCGGCAAGCCCGCCAACGCCAGCCAACCGGCCGTGACCAGAAATGTCGTAATCAACATCGCACACTGTAGGTACACGAGAGCACCAAGTAACCTGCAACTATACCCGCGCACTCGTAAACACACACATACACGCACACCCACACGAAAAATAAGAAATGTCAAAGCAACGCGAAAATTTCCAACGGCGGGTTGGTTGAGAGCCGGTGGGTCTGGCTGGCACGCGCTCGCCGGGCGCACGGGCGTGCAATAAAGCCGTGCCGAGTCGTAGCGCTGACTTTTATATACTTGCTCTGTGCACATTGCGGGCGACGGCGAGGTAAGCGTGGAGCTATCCTCTCGCGAGAACGGTATATGGGTGATGCTTACATACGCACTGGGGGAGGCTTTCGATGATGCGAAGATGACTTCGATGGCACGGTCTTTTCGTTTGAGAAGAGCAATTGTGTGTGAGGGAGAGGTCGAGGCCGATTTACTTTTGAAAGGGTGATATTATTGGTGGTACAATTGTCCGATGAGTCTGCTGCTGAAGGATTTTGGTAAATATTCATAAATTACCCTTGTTGTGTGCCTTTTGATTTACGTTGGACCACTTGATCACGATATTGAATCTTCGTCGTAATATATGGAAAACAATTTTTTGAGCACACGAGTTTTAGAAATTCATTCGTGTACCTGATGTTTCGATTTTGGTCTTAAAGATTATATCCTTGAAAAGATTATGGACACATTAATACATTTCAACCAAAGGCGCAAAGTACGAGTTTGAGATTTTACAAATCAGAAGAGGGGTCAGAAAGTGTTTAAGGGGTGCAAAGTTTTTGTGGAAAACTAACATTAATACTTATTTAGAAATATACAGGCACCACGATACTTAGAATACTTATCGTTATTTGTACTTTTGTTTTTGGAGACACTTGTTTTGCCCACAAAAGTGGTTTCAGACAACAAGAAGCTGGTTCAGATTTTGGGGTGAAAAATAACTACATCCACTGCTGATTTTGATACTATAGTAATATGACTCGGTGAATAGCATCCTTTCCTATGTTTAAAAGTGATCGTGGAATCAGACAATCAAGTAAAAAAAATATTCTGGATGATTTTCTGTATTAAAAGCAAAACAGCACAATAAGCACAATCAATATAGCAACAGTAATGCAGTTCAAAGTTCGACACAAACTATTTTATCGTGGTAACTATGTGGTGTAAATTAATGGAGGAAATGTGGTTTCTACCATCTAAATTTCTTTTTTTTGACATCTCCAACCTTCATCAATCCATCTATACATACAATATCCGTCCATCGTTCGATTGAAATTGGCTTGTTTTTCGGAAACCTGAAGTATAGTTCTTTCAATTTTTTTTCAATCGTCCAGATAATACTTTAAAAGAGTTCCTACCAATCAAAAACGATTTAATATATATTAGAACAAGATCACAGCAATGCAGATCAAATGAAAGCCTGAGTGAAAATTTTTCCGACGTTGCGCCAGCGAAAATCATTTCCATCTCCCATCCAATTTATAAGCGATAAGTGTTGTTGTTTTACCGTGATATAACGTGAAAAGCCGCTCGCTGAAAATCACCAAAGAAAATGTGATATTAATAGGTACAAAAAAAAAAAAAAAAAAAAAAACTCTACAAACACGAAAAAGCTCTCATTACACGGTACGAAAATAAATTGACGCGTAACTAAAACGATCCACTCCAGCCGCAAATCCACAAGTAGATCTTTTTCCCCGCATTTCATTCATAACGATAAATATACTGTCGTAGCTTCATCGTGAACCGCGAATCGTTTGCGTGTGCCAGCGCGAAATTATTTCACCGCACCGCTCGCGTATATAGCTCTCCAGTAAGACTGATCGCAAGGCCCGTGCGGCGCATTCACATATTACAGCGCTGTAATGGTGGTTATCGTGATGATGCTTTCGCAACCCGACGGTAGCTTTGATAGGTGTATAAGGTATTGTATTGTGCACCGGCCGTTTTGTAATCGCACCTGTCTATTAGTTTTCTTTTTTTTTTTTTTTTTTTTCCTCACCACGATATTGCACGCCTGGCTGGATATCCGTGCATCAATATACACCCCACGAGAGATGATTGTAGGATTGTTTAGAATATTGTTGTCAGACGCCCGAGTGGGTATCAAAAGTTGTTATATAACGCGTATCATAACTTTCGAAAGGTAGTTTTCTACGCCACTTACCTACTTACTTACAAGCCGAGCGGTGTGGAAAATGAAGACCAGAGAGAGATCGAGAGAGTCTCACGTAATCGGTGTAATCCACATTTGAATAATTTTATTCCATAATGTAGCTCGCAATCAATGTATTCAAAGGTCTATTGCGAGTGATCTTGGAAACTTCTACATGTACGAAACAAAGACGTTTAACAATTTTTACAGAAGGTATTTTGTCTTCGAGTTTGACTACTTATAACATTATGCAAAGTATTAGAAAAGACAATGATTGAGTTACGATTTGACTAGTACATTAAAAACTGCTTTTATCGTTTGCACCAATATTTAACGAAATGTATCCTTGTGAAATATTTCATTAAAGTGAACTTGGTGACACGCAATAAAATATGATGATGACCACCGCAAGATTTTACTGCGTACAGAGATAAGTATTTTTATTAGTAAAATCTAGATAGTTTTTTCAAAAGGTAACTCTTAAGTATTACCAACCTTTATTTGTATCAAAAGGCAACTTTTAGCAGTTTTAATGACGCTCATTCCTTTAATTTTTATCCCACAAGCGACCTTGTCACAACTTTTACGGTTGTTACTGGATATCAAGGCTGTAAAAGTACCCCAAAGTGTAAAACATCATAAGATTAATTTTTCGTCTCTGATTCAACCTTCCATCTGTCAATTTTAGTACTGTAATCTCTGAGATTCCGTTCACTTGTTAATATGTCTACTTATTACCTTAAAAATGGACAAATGGATCTTCCATAAATCACAGTAAATCTGCGATAGCCGTACAGCTCGGGAGAGTCGAGTTGCGAGGATAGAGGCGACGGCGAGTCCAAGAAATTTCAATAGAAACATTAAACAGGTGGAGGAGAGAGGAGGTACACGTTTGCCGATTAATACCGACCACTCGCGGGCCGATTTGCGTTGCCCAACAGATTCGCAAACCCCTGCGATCCGCGCGCAAGACATATACCTACTTGGAGCACTTGGCCATCGATTAAAAGGCGCATTATAGGGAACGGAACAAACGATGTATAGCTCATGATAAAATCTCGTCTGCGCGTATACATGCACAGTGAATGCGCAAACGACTTTCGGTCAAAATCTCGACTGTTGCGAAAGTACCTAATCCTTTGTCGACGGTTTCGTGCACTTACTTGTGGACACGTTAACATATTAGTTATACCTGTTGAATAAGGTGGGGTATAAGCGCAATATGTTGGGGATGAACGATTTCGTTGCCACAATTGCGTCGTGCATGCAGAAAGAAAACTAGCCGAGCGCGAAACAGCCTTTTTTATGCCACGTATATACCATCGATTCTTCTTTTCCTCGGCTCGTTAATGTGGTTCTATGAGCTTATTTCATATACATATACATAGCAGTTATCTAGAATCATCGGTCAGCTATAAGTTGTAGAAATTCAATAACTTGATGATCCATGTCAAATGACAGAAGAATCGACAGTATATAAGAGTATCTTCGGCAAATTGAAGAAATAAAATAAAATAAAAAAATCTACGGACAAACGATAAAATAAAGCTTTTATTGATAAACTGACAAATAAAGAGTTATTTGTTGTATGCATAAATGGTAAAAGCTAGAGTCACCGAACTGTATTTTAATCAATCACACGTACGATTAACTTAACGTACGATTACTTTCTTCATTTAAATTTATAAATAAAGGCGTTTATAAAAAAATTTCTTACTATGTATTCTAATTTCTATCACGTTAACATATTAGTAATACCTGTTACTTACAAAATTTCTTACTATATATTTCTATCTTTCAGTTATAATTGTGGTCTACAACAGTAACTACGGCTACAACTGCACTAAAAGTTCATCGTGTGCAAAATACAGTATACGAAGTAGAAACAAACAAGTAAGGTAAGACGAGCCATCTAGTAAAATCCGTCACTTTCAGTCTACAATAACTATTAAAAATAACAAAAATTAGATGTATTCGTTGACGCTATACATTGTATTGTCATTTATAATAAATATTCTATGTAAAAAAAAAAAAAAAAAAATTGTTAACCAATGTACAAGAGCAGGTTAACGCCATCATCATCCTTTACACTTCCTGTTTTATCGTACGTATGTACTTCATTCGCGTATCTTGCACCAAGTGAAAAATATACATCTAACAACAACAACAACAATAACCATATTGTTGACGAAATGTGCTGGTTTCACTTGCCCGAACTGCAACAGCTCAGTCACGCAGAGCCTAATCATCTCCTTGTTTCTCACTTTTCTTCTTTCTTTTTTACCTCCGATTGTCGGAGAATTGGATACGGAAGATACATGTTTTTTCGACGTTCCCCGACTGTGATAGATTGCGCGACGCACTCGTAAAAACTTAGATTTACTGTGCGATTTTCAGCGCGAGAGGTTTTCGCAATAGCCGTGATTTTCACGCCAGAAAGGATGTGTACAGCTACTGGGCGCTGTGAGCTGTGAATTTTTCTTCTCCAGCACCAATTATTCGGTTTTTTTTCTTCACCGTAAAGCAAAGTGTGAAACAATACAGAAAAATATTTTATTTGGACTTCATTTGGATTTACGACTTTTTTTCAAAAAAGCTATATATTTGTTGCAACATCCGTTCTTGCTTATAGTTTTTGGATCGAGGAAACAAAAAATGGCATGAACCAAAAATAACCTTTTTCTCGAAAAGATTGAGAAATATCGGTAACAGCCGGGTATATGTGGTGACATTTATTTTTGAGCGATGATGCGCTTTGATCTGGCGACTTGCGCAACCTGCATCAAAAACGGCATCCCGCATTGTTGCAGATAATCACCATCAGTTTAACGCGTAAATTAACAAGTTTAAAAACGAATAACGGTTTACCAAGTGTTCGCTGTTAATCAAAAAGATTTTCGTTTTAATTACATGTATAAGTAGGTCTCTTGCATGATAATTGAACCCGCTAGATTAGTTAAGAAA